TAATTTTTTGCACTTGAATGTCTAAATTTTGATTGGACCGTTAGATCATATCTAAATTTATCTCATTAGTTAGCTTATGAGATAAGCTTCGTATGGGCATTTGAATCACTCCAATCAGACATCATTTTGTGAAAACGACGCATGTCAGAAATTCATCTTGTGTGTTGTCAAATGACATTCGCAGAAACTAGCATGTGCACCTTGGTCCATTGCACATCACATCATGGAGCAAGGTACAAAGAAGGTCAAAGCTCATAACTCTGTACCACATGCCATAGTGCATGCTGTATATGTCATAGTGCATGCCCCATTATTTGACATTATTTCCTTATTTCAAAGACATGCAATGATTGATATAAATGCATATAATTTATTTCCACTGTGTATGGCTCTGATATGTTAAGATTTTGATGATTTTGCAAAACAAGTTTTGGACCCAAGTTTTTCAAAAATAATATTTTGAATATGGTCTGATTTTATTGTGGTGATTAAGTTAATTCTCTCTTTATATCGTGTTGGTAAAAGGGGAGGGTTACACATTGCATCTGCCTCTTGGCTTCTTGAACCTAATAAGGTATTGGTCTAGTATCTCACCAGCCTGTTAAGTCAATTTGCGTAATTGTACAATAATGATCATAGGCTCAACTTTGTAGAACTGGATGTGGAATTTTTGCTCCATTTCTAGCCAAGCAAGAATGGAATTGTTCACTAAGGTTATGTACCATGTGAAAGCCGAGCCCATGATAGAATTCAAGAACAACCTCAGTTTTAAATTGCTAAAGCTATCATAATTGGCAATTTCACCATACTAAATCGTGAACCCACCAATATGCTCCAATGTTAATTGTGTACTATCTCCAAAGAATAAAGTGAAGTTTAGGATTCTTTAGTCCCTAGGGTATGGGTTCTCTCGGTCTATATATTCAAGATATAATTTTACAAATGTAGGTCAACTAATTGGTCTTAGCTCTGGCCTATAAATATCCTAAATAGCATCATTTAATGCATTTATTATTACCAACTAGTTTTGTGGCTCATTTGGTCTTCCTAGGAGTTTGCCCATGCCGCCCTGAGCCATCAGCATTTAGTTACTATAAATAGTATAATGGGTTATTATTCACTAGATTAGTAGTAGCAGACGTTTGAGGAAAAGGGGGATTCCTTACTAGCAAGTAGCCCTAAGGGCCTACAGTAAGACTAGCTCTTGAGGGCTGCCCCTTATGTAGTTCAAAAGTTGAGCTTGCATTTATGGTCTTCATCTTAGTGACATATCTACATTTTTCATCCCTTCATGTAAGGCTTACATCATCATTTGTTGTCATTCCCTTTCTTTGCATTCAGATGCTTCGAGAGAGAGCATAAATTTTTTCATTTTCTTCAATCTACTTGTCCGTATAGTCATGAATTCTCTCAATACCTCTGCTACCGAACCGTTGGATATAATTAATGGACAAATATTTTTGCTACCTTCCTTTGAACTAGGGCTTGTACTGTTGATACTCATGGTCACGGCAGTACGTGCTCACAATGTACACTTGTTTCAACATCGAGTACCAATGGCTCTAATCCTTGTTGGCACAAGACTTCCTTCTGGTTTGTGAGAACCAACACCTATTTCAACAATCTTTTTGTCCTTTAGTGTCCTTGGCATCTTTGTCACACAATGTACCACTAGGTGTGCAACAAATTGTTTTTAGCAAAATAATAAATACCAAGTGTGACAGAGACATTAAGTCTCAAGGATATCAATAAGGTTCCTAGGCTCCTTTAACTATAGTTTGCTCTGATGTGAAGATGTAAAAAGATTGGAATTGAATTTATTTTTGATTAAATGGGAATGTAAAGTACAAAGTCACAATGATCACCACTTAGAAAGCTGGGAATGATTCTAAGACTAACTAAGAATACAAATTAAATTTGGAAAGTCAAATAGTTCTGTTTGAAAATACTTATAAAGTGTTATTGCTTTTGATGATGTTGATCCTCTCCTCACAGCCCTTTGGTCTTCATATACACATTCAATCGAGACCATTATCCCCATGAGATCTAAAGCCTATTTCCAAAATATCTGCAATCACTTAGCATGGCCTGCGAGATTCATGGCACATAACATCATATCCAATCAACAATCTCTAACATCCAGTAGCCCTAAGTCCTAAGGGTTATGCCAAGCTCATGCATGGCATGCCCTTCTCCTGGGAAAGGACCAAGCTATGCATCTTGGGCCTGTTGTATCATTTGTCTAGTTCCTCCTTCTTGCTCTTGGGCTACTACTTTAACTCTAGGCCCAAACAAATTGATTTAAAGTATAATTGAGATGCACCAAGTAAGTGTGGTATAGATGGTAAAGATCTAATCTCCTTAAATATCATTCCAAGGTTTGACTCCTAAAAATATGTATCGAAAAGCATCTCTTGAAAGAGGACAATCTTTTAAATGGTGCTCTGATTCTTTAAAGGATTAGTTTCATGGCCTTCAGATGTGGAGATACCTTGCATAACAAAAAAAAAATGTATAAATGAGATGCATTAAAAAAGTTTTTCTGTGAAAATAAGAATTAAATTAGAATTTTAAGAAATTGTTGTAAAAATTTTAAACCAGAAAAAACTCGAACAAGGGAAAAAAAAAATACAATGTCTCAAGCAACTATTTGATCTAAATGGAAATTATTTAATTCTACACGTTAATTTATAATTTAAAAAACTACTCCCCGTCTTCTCCCTCTTCAATCTACATGTCTTATCATAGTTTTTGTTCGATCTGTAAATATATTAATGATTTATCGATCTGGTGGTCCTTTGTTTTAATTTGCATGAAGTCTTTCATTTTGAAACCAAAAAAATTGATGTGCTCGGTGATACATGCACTTATGTACTTAACCTTACATACTTAATATATTTATATTAAATTAAATCATGACATGTAAATTTTAATATGTTAATTTAATTACTAACAGGTATTTATTATTGAAAAATAATTTATAAAAAATCTACATGTCTTAATTTAATTTGATACAAGCTGCTTAAGTATATAAATTAAATAAAAACAAAGAATTAGTTAACTGAACATTTATGCTATTAGTAGTTGTTTGGTTGTTACAAAGAGTGTGAATGAAATGGATTAAAGAAATAAAAATAAAAGTGAAGTCCCAATTTTAGTTTAATAAGTTACTTGCACATATATCTTGGTATTATCCTTTTCATGGAAAAGCTTAATACCACAAATGTGGAAATAATTACAACATGCACAAATTTTTATGAATCATGATCCCATTCTAATTAAATTTTTCTATGCTAATTTTAATTAATTTTACATACTTTTTCTTTTACAATTGATCTATATTAAAAATTTTCAATATCTTTCTTCCTATGTTTAACGAATTTAACTTATTACAATTTTTCTTCACTATTTCATTCCAGCCAAACTGAGAGTTAATATCCATGTGCAACGGTGGACTGCTCAAAAAAAGGGTCGAACGATAAAATAAAGTTACTAAAATTAGCAAGTTCAAAAACTTAAACACTTATTTAAAAATGGTGGACTGCTATTTTCCGAACCAAGAAGACGCGCACCAGATGAAATATATTATATTGGGCGGGTCTGGTTTTATCGTTTAAGATATGTGTGGTTTCCTTGTAAAAATTCAAAATATTGTTTAAAGTTTTCGTTGATAATGGCCATACTTTCATCCATGGAATGGGATCATGTTATTTTTGTTGAAATAGTGAGAACTCCAAAATTTCATTGTTTTTTTTTTTAGCAAAAAAAATTTCATTGTTTTGATCAAAAATTAAAATAGAAAAGAAGTGAAAATTTCATTTGGGCATAAAAATTTTGATTAGCACCATATCCAGTCATGTGTGCGAATAATATTAATCTTCGGATGTGAATTGCTTAATAGAAATAATATGCTTTTTTCTGTCCTACAATAAGATGTGAGAACATTATTTAGCCCTACCTGCAGAGTGTGTTGGTACAAATTCCGAGCAGGGGATGTAAGGCCTTCACATTTTGGGGCGTCCATTGCTTACCACTTCAAAATCAAACATTCAGCAATAAGAGTATGAAATAAAGAAGTGAAAAGAATAAAAAGCCAGAAAAGATACTGAACTGTGATAAAACAGATGGCAACATGAAACTCATGATAATGAAAATGGCAAAGACAACAACAGACTAGTAGCATGTTATAAAGACAACGAAGAAGTACGGAATTCAAAAGGAAAATGCAATAAAAACTCCTAAACATGAAAGGCAGGGATATATTATTAATCAAATCTCAATCCCACGCCTATGAATTAAAAACTCAAATATATTGCCTTCTTCGTGCTACAGAATCATAGAATCTCCAGTTGTTACACCACTGACAGAAAAAAAATTCCTACTAATACGTATGGTATTAATATATTTTTCCCCTCAACTATCATCTATTAAAAAAAAAAAGATAGCTTCTATATATGGTTCATTAAACGCTTGTTTGGTTAAAAGGGAGGGAAAAAATTTTCCCCACCCTCCACCTTACCAAACAAGGAGAGGAAAGGTTGTCCCATCCAAACAAAAAAAAAAAATAAAATTTACAAATAATTTTTATAAATTTATGATTGACATTATAAATAATCACAAGTATATTTAATAAATTTAATTTCAATAACTTAAAATCTATAATTATCATTCATATTCTTAAGTCCTAATTTTATTTTCCTGTATGTAAAGATGCCATAGTTTGTTGATTTTTTTTTTTTTGAATAACTTTTAACCAGGCAGGGGTCAAAAAGCTGTTTTTTGGAGGAAGGGGAGCGCATGGAATGAGGGTGAAATTTAAATTTTGATATTTTGTAAATTAAATTATATTTCACATTTTTATTATTGTATTTTCATCCATATATATTTTTATTAGTAATTATTGAAAGTGAAACTAAAATTATTAAGATTTTATATATTATATTTAATTTAGTTATGCTAATAATATATGGGTGTAATTTTTTAATTAAAAAATATACAACTGACAAATCACACTATTTTTAAATTCCTCACGCATTAGTTACACCTAGAGTCATCAAACCTACCTCTACTACATACATGTGGCACTACCTTCGCTTCAAAGGACCACGAACAATTGTTGTTGTTGTTGTTATTGTTATTATTATTATTATTTTGGCCAACGACCACGAACAATTGTTAAGGTGAATCGTAACTTTCTCTTTACAATGTATATAAAACGAACTCTTGATCATTTCTTCACCCTCAGCTTTTCCGAAAATTAAGACTAGGGGTTATCTGACGCGCAGGGACACCAATTTCACATGCCTTGACTTTGGAAGCAAAACGGAGGGAACAAAGTGTCTCTCCAGCCGATGACGGATCAGGCGAGACATTCACAAACATCAACGTTTTCGAATCTCCAGCAAGACATGGCTGCCATGAATGCAACATAACAAAGCTCAATACAAAGGAGGAGAGCATCAACACGATAAACAAACAGAATTAGGGCCGAGATCATGAAGGATAAATGATAAATGTCAAATGATATTTGATAAATATGACATTTGTTATTATTATTATTATTATTATTATTATTATTTTGACAGCCCTTGGACCAAACAAATCATTCTTATCCATCACAGATTAAAATCGGATTATTAGCATGTTATTTAAAAAAGAAAAAATAAAATCATAGATTTTTAGAATTACAAAAAATATATATTATTGGAATATTAGTCTGTGTATTACCCGAAAGAATTCAGGAAATTATAAAGATTAGTCCAACCTAAACTGTTTCATTTTTTATTGAAATATTAGTCTACTAAATCAACCCATCCAAATGTCACCAAATCTCTGGCAACTAAACTGTTCTCCATGATCAAACTACTTCAATGAATAACAAGTTGTAGACTTGTGACAAAAAAAAACTGAGAAATAAAAAGAAAGTAATCTTATGGTTTAACATACCTGGAGGAGGTACGTGAGCTTTGAATTCCTGAAAGGAACATGCTCCTCCTTCTTGGCCAATGCAAATATGACATCACTCAGAGACGATAAACTTTTGTTGATAGCCTTTAAAAATGACAAACACTGTCAGAGAAACAGGCTTGAGTATTATTCTGATGTGATGAATAACATTATATAGGAAGCCTGACGATAATACCGAGGCCCTAAGACACATCAGATTAGTCATATCAGAGTAACTAAAGAGTTTGACTGACTTTAGATGACTTATGCATATATCCTAATAAACGCATCATCAGTTATCCATTTCAGAAAATAGTGTCATTCATCATGAGCAAAATTCATATTAACGCAAAGCAATCACGCACCTGAGTTTCCTTAAGTCGATCCCCAGTTGCCCCACTCCTTGACAGCCTTTCACTTCCAGCTAGATCAATCAAATTCAAGACTCCTTGCACTTGTTGTTCTGTATTCTACGTAGTTAAGGACATCACCACATTCAGCGTTAAAAAAACAGAGATAGAGAACAATACAATGTAAACCACGATGCAATGTAAACAAGAGCATATACCTCATTGACCCCGCTTAAGCGCAAAGTAAAAACAAAATGGCTTCTTGATGACTGTTCATTCACCTGTGTCCTTCCTACAGACCTAATTCAACAAAACAGAATACCATCATTAGTAGAGACCAGGAATAAATGGTTGTACATCATACATGAAGGGTTAATTAAACAGAATCAAAAGTACTGATTTACTCAACATGAAACTTTAATATCAACAATCATGATAGATCAGTCTTGAGCAGTACGAGAGAAAATTATGATTTCCATCGGAAGTATAAGTGGAAAATTCTAACGTAAAATCCTGAAAGTTTATACCTCATTCAACCACAATGTCACCACGCAACAAATAAAGCAGCTGACAGAACTAGGCATTCTACATTATAAACAACTTGCACGAACCTGCAATTTGTAGCCTGTTGGAGGAGTAGGGAAATCTCATCCACACTACAAACATCTACAACAGTGAGGTCAGAAACCTCTGTGTTTCCACTTGCATCATGTTGGATATTGTATTGCTTCTCAAGAACACCGGTTTCTGTTCGTGTTAGATCAGCTCTGCTAGCCCGATTTGATGCCAACAAATCATGAATAGCATCGTTATATATTTCTAGCATTGAAGCCTAGAAATATTTAGGAAACTATTTAATTTTAGTTTGTGGATGTAACCAAATTAAAATCAGAATAAACATATGTTAACCTTCAATTTGTACGTCCAGCCCTGGTCCTTAAGGGCCTCACTAATCTGGAAGATCTGTTCTAGGGAACGCGGTATTAATCCTTTTAAATCTGGGACGTTAGGCCTACCCATCATTGTATATGTTTTGCCTGAACCTGTCTGACCGTAAGCAAATATGCATACCTGAAATAAAGAAGCCAAATTTCCCTTTTCAAGGTAAGCAACAGCATCAATCTTTTCCATTTCTATGCAGCGATTCAGGAAAGGAAAAACAAACTTTTCTTTTCCATGAGACAGACTTAACTTGGAAAAGTTTCCTAAGGCGACAAAAACCAAGAATATAGGAAACTTTTATAGCAAGAGTGGATGATCAATCCATGCAAGTAGAAAACCAAGGAAAATTCCAAGCAGGTGATAACATTTTATTTAGTGAACAATGGACAATGTAAATTCACCTTATACCCATCCAGAGCACTTTGTACCAACTGTGATATCTCAATGAAAACATCTTGTTGAGAAGCCTCAGGATTGAAGACCTTATCAAATGTAAAAGAGTACCTTTTCCCTGATGAACGTTAAAGGATAGATCATGCCAAACTTCCCATGTTATATTTCAGAGAACATATATCTCTCTTGAAACTCATCAGAGATAGTAGTAAGAGCATAAGCGTAAAATGGTATGCACTTATACCGCTTTGGACCAATTCAATGCCTTGGTCGAGACCTTCTGCTGAAGTCGGGTAAGAAACCATGGTGTTCATTCCAACACCATGGTCCGGTAGCAAAGGTCGAACTCGACAAAACACACGAATATTTCCTTTCAGCTCCTAATGACCAAAAGAGTGAGAGCGTCAGAATTATTATTTATGGATTAGAAGCAAAAGGGACTTTTTACGTTACTATCTGAGTAAAGTAGTGTTACAAGGATGCTATTGTGCAATTTTTTTCTTAACTTCTCCCCTTCAGTTATTAAGAATTCTTTATCAGCCAAACGGGCTTGCAATTCGCCGATAATGAACTCTTTCTCTTTAACACTTGTTCTTGTTAAGTCAGCCATCTAACAAAAATGAAAATAAATGTCAGTGTCAGTGACAATTAAAGTTATCACATCAACATTCAATGAATGCTAAAAGCTTTAAATAGTTCCCGTTTATCTAATGGGAAATTTTGACACAATTAAGCAACTGATTCAACCAAAAATGGAGGAACTAATTTTCTTGCCTTCACTTTCTCTTTTTCAGCCATCAATTGCTGTTGTAGTATATCAATTTGCTCTTTTTGAGAAGAACGTGCGCTCTGTAAAAGAAACCCCACGACCTTAAAAAGATAACCAACAAAGGAGCGCACAATGTATCTAGAACAAGAAATCATACCACCATAATTGAGTTGGGGAAAAAAAACAAAGCAAAACAAACCTCAAGAGTATGTATTTCACTTCTCAAGACATCCAACTCCGCACATGAATTCCCTATAAGTTCTTTGTAGCTTGCTACTTCTCCAGTTAAAGCATGCACTTGTGCATGTTGCTCATCACGATCATTTTTAAGTTGCTTTAATTCTACACGGAGATCATCGAGCTTGTGTATCAGCACATCGTTTAGTTTTGTAGCTTTTTCTTCTGAAACCTGAGAAGTGAAGATAGCAAGAGGAGGAAAATATAACATAAGATCAAGAAACCGGTTCGCGTTTTGTTTTGTAGCCTCCCTCCGGATGATTATTCCCTCGTCATTTTTTTTTTGGGCAAATCCCTTTGTGAAAATGAAGCTTTGCGATTAAAATTTCAAATCTGAAATTTTTCACATCATATAATACGTGGGAATATGGAATTAGAAATAAAAAGGGGTAATTAGAAAAATTAAGGATAAAAGGATAATTTGAGTATTTAGATATATTCTATATAAATAGAGTACGTAGGGTACAGTGGAGGGTGTGAATGAAATCAGCCTCTCTTTTCGTCTACATTTCTCTTCTTCCTCTATTAAGGTATTAGAGCCGTCTCTCCAGCCATGTCCCCGCTGGCGACGCGGTCCTCAAATGAACGCATTAGTGACTTGGAACATCGCTTGGAAATGCAATCCTCATTACTTTAAAGTACTCAACAGGTTTTAGACCAACACACTAACAATATATCAAAGATTAAAACTACCTTATCTCAGTTTATAATAAGCTTACTATGCTAGCAAATCAACCATTGCATTCCCTCCCCTTACTCCAAGTTGGTAAACCCTCCCAACCACCTTCCCAAGCACCCTCCGTTGCTCTCCCTCAACCTACAACCTCTGTCCCTCCGCCGCCAATAGCAATCCCACCACCACCCCCTTTGTCTCGATCAGCAACCCCTTCTGCCTTAGCACCCCCTCCTCCCATTTTCACACCACTACCTCAGTTCGGGTCCTTCCAAGGTCTCCTTCCCATGCCACCCAACTCATGCTCTGTTCCTACCAAGAGTAGCAGAGTCGCATTCCCTAAATTTGATAGCACTGATTTTCAAGGATGGGCTTACCGCTGTCGCCTATTTTTTTATGTGGATGGAATGCCCATTGACCTACATATTCGTCTCCTTAGCATCCACTTGGTGAAATGTGCCCTGCGTTGGCACTTAGCCTTCACTAAACAGAGGCATTTGGACAAGATACCTTGGGAAGAATACTTCCACAAAATGGAAACCAAATTTGGCGATATAAAAGAAGAAAACCCCATGATTGTGATAAAGAAACTGCAGATGCAAGACTCTGTCGAAGAATATGAGGAGAAATTCGATGAGTTGCTTACTGAAGTTGACTTATCAAAGGTAGCAGTCATGAATTGCTTCATCGGAGCCTTGCGCAACGACATGCAACAAGGCATCCTTAGTCTCCAACCAAAAAACATTGGCCAGTGTAATGAAGATGGCCAGACAACAACTTGCTGCCATAAAAGCAATTTATGACCACACTTCATCTTCTACGCCACCAACTCACAGGACTTCCTCTGGGTTTTCTTCGTTCTACTCATTAGGTCTTCTCGTTTGCCTTCTCCATTATTATCAGGTTCCAGGTATGACTCGGTTACTAAACCCATATCCACTAATGACCCAGTGACTAAGCTCATATCCACCACGAGCCCATTAGCAGATCAGTTCAAATAGAACCGATCCTTCAACACCTCTAGTTTGGCATCCTCTAGGCCTTCAAAACAACTTTCAAAGAGTGAAATGGATGATCGAAGGCATAAGGGCTTGTGTTATTGGTATGACGACAAATACAGCAATGCACACCATTGCCAAGATTCACAACTCTTTTCCTTAATGTTGAAGACACAGCAAAGATATTTGCAAACGCTCGAGAGGAGATGGCACCAGAACAAGTCGTATATTAGATATAGGTTTTCACTTTTCATCTTCGTACTGATCCTTGAGGACAAGTATCTCTTTTAGGGGGGAGTATATTAATACGTGGGAATATAGGAATTAAAAATTAGGGGTGTTTATGATGGGACCGGGATACTCTGTCTTGTATCCTGTCCCAAAAAAATCATACTGAATTTTAATCTCGTATCCCATCCCGTTCCAAAAGTAGTCCCATCCCATTAGGAATCAGAACGGGACTAGGATGAGATCGAGACATCCCGCCATCCCGATAAATTAGACAATATCAGAAAAATATCTGAATAATAACATTCATTAAAATTTTAAATCACATAATTTATTAAGTTTAAAATTAGAACAACACAAATATATAAATCATAATAATTTAAAATTAATTATTGAATTACATTAATTACAACTACATCTTATGATAACGATTACAAGTAATCTCTAGGCTATAAAAGCAATAGCAATAGGCAAGTCAAGTACAACATGAAATCATTATTCTTCTACTTTAGTTGAGAGATGCTAAATTAATTACTCTTTCAAAAATAAAATAAGAAATACAATATAAATAAACGTTATTAAATGGATAAATATAAGAATAAATTATATTAATATAATTAATATACTGTAAAAAAAGATATCGTCATGTTTACTGTATGTCATTAAAATTATCAATATAAAAAACTTTAATTTTATATAAGAATTGCAAATATTTAAATTATAACTAATATAATTAATATAAATATAAATTATATTAATATACTTAATATATTTAATGTATATTTTTTAAATAAAAAATAATATATATAATATTTGGGACGGGACGGAACGGGATGTCCCAATGGTAATTCCATATCCCGTCCTATCCTGAACCCCTTTCCCATTCCATCCTGCAAAGTCCCATCCCAATTATTTTTGGGCTAGGACAAGACTCATCCCGATATGATCGGGACAATACCAGGCCAATCGGAACGAGTATAAGTTGAACATCCCTATTAAAAATAAAAAAGGGTAATTAGGGAAATTAGGGATAAAAAGATAATCTGGGTATTTGGATATATTCTATATAAATAGAGTATCTAGGGTACAGTGGAGGGTGTGAATGAAATCAGCCTCTCTTTTCGTCTATATTTCTCTTCTTCCTCTATCACCATATTTCAAGGAAAACAACCAGTTGTCTTACAGTTTACACTTTAAACGTGACTAGTAAAGGTTATACATTGAGAAGTGGATTTTTGCAGTGTCAATGCTTATCAACAGCATCAAAATTTAATGCTTTGTAGAGTACTCAACTCAGGGCATAATTTTTCAAATTATCTCTATTTCCCATCTCTTCAAAACTACTTATAACAGGTTGAAATTCAAGTGTTTCAATGAAGGATGACAAAATGTCCCTTGCTCCATTCCCAATGCATATCTATGCACTAAAATTCCAACCGTTCACAACACATATCACTTGACACAGCACTGTACGAAGAAAACAATCAGCAGCATATAAAAACATGCATAAAAAGAGAAACAACTTACTCGAGCAGTTTCCAGCCGAACCTGCAGAGCCTTATTGAGACCTCTCACATCGCTAAGAGTCGCAATCAGGGCTGCTTTGTGCGATTCCAGATCTTTAATTACCCGATTAGTTGATTCAAGTTGTGAATGGATATCTTTATTGTAATCTTGCAGATTGATATTATAGTCTAGGGTCTGCTTGGCCTGCAAAACAAAGTCATTTAAAATTCAGCAATTTACTGATAAAATGCTCTTCTCTTGATTATTATGTATATTTAGAATTTATAATCTGGAAGTACCTTTAGCTCCTCAGCTAACTTCTCTTCCTCAACTTTCTCAAGCTTAGTTGAAAGCAAAACTTGCATCTCCTCAGCAGCACTTCTGGCTTCTTTTTCTACTCTAAGAAAATCAATAGCTTCCTAATTGTTGAACAGTAAGGAATCATCAGAAAACACGAAACTTCAACAGGCCATCAATGACAAATTCAGCATTACAAATAACCTTACCAACTTCAAGGATTCTTCCTTCACAATTCGCTCTTCCAAGGAAGAAATTGTCTGCCTTAAATCTGATATTGTGTCACTTAATTCCTCATTCTTCTTTTTCATTTCAGTCTCTGAAAAGGAACAGAAGTATGATCATGAAATGCGTATTCCTTTAACAAAAATGTTGAATTAGGGTACAGTAGAAACTTGCACGTCCTTTGTTACTCTAGCAAATAAATTTAAAAGCTTTCAAGAGAGATGAAACCGTATCGATTCACTTCTTTCGGCAGTTTTCTAGTAGTTGAAGATTACTAGCTCAGAACAGATACGTACCAGTATCGGTGCACTTCTTTTCGGCAGATTCAAGTGCAGACTGAAGCTTTTCCTTTTCTTCATTGTTGCTTTCTTCACGTTTCTCAAAATATTTTACACAAAGTTTAAGCCGCCTGATAAGCTTCCCCATCTGGTCTATTTTTCCCTGCAAAATAAGTGGGAGAATAACAACTTACTCGCAGAAGACCCAAAACGCAGACATAATTGAAATTATTTGCCTAACAAAGAATAAAACATAAAGATTGTATAAGATAAAACAGACCTTGTTATCAAAGGGATTTCCAGTTTTCATCTTCTCAGTCAACAGCGCCTCCACATCCTCTTTGGTGAACTCAACAAAGCCGCATTCTGAGCCCTCGGCACTTGCAACATCATCTGCTTTATTAACACCTGGCCCTTTGTTCACTAAAGCAAGAGGCTGCCTGCTTCGGCCAGTGGTCCCCTGGCGACCCACCCATTCTGCTCCAACCTGCCGACGCCTGGCCAAGGGGATTGTATTCGGGGGGCTACGCGGAGGCCTCTTCTGGTTCCTAGAAGCCATATCTATAGCTTGAATCGGGTGTGATTTAGATCTGAAGTAGGGGGGAATGAAGGTTCAGTTCGGACCTGACTTGAATCGTTAAGGAATACCGGGTAGTGAACAGGACGGAAACGATGGGAGAAAATAGCCGCGTGAATCTTGAATTTTGAATTTGCAATTAAAGGCCTGTTTGCTGTTTGGTTGGGGGGAGGGGTCCCTCTCCTCCCCTCCCCTCCCCTCCAAAACCTCCCCCATTTTAAGTTAACTTTTTAGGTTAAATGAATCTAAATCCTTAAAATTTAATTATTTAATTTTAAATTAATCATAAAATTTTATTTTCATATTCAAAAGCTCTTTTTAAATCTTTCTTTCAGATTCCAACACTTTAAAATTTTTTAATTTAATTTCTCAACCAATTAAATTCAATGAAAATGGGGTAGGAATGAAGTTTAAAACTGTATGATACTTATCCAATAAGTCACTAGCCGAAGTAGACTTTCAATCACATGATAATACAAGCCTTAGCATATGAGAACTCCCTTTATTTTTTTGATATATTTCCACCTCTTTCCTCTTCTAATTTCATGCATTCTAACTTAGGTCTTAAGTAAAATCATGGGCCATGCGCCGTGGGGTATGTAGCTTGTGTCGCGACATATGGCATAGTGAGTTCAATCTTACTTGTGCTTGCGTGTTATGCTCCAGATTATCATTTTACCTTTCAATTCTATCAATATAATAGCCAATCAACACAAAATATCAACTCAACATCCAGATTACAATTAATTCACTAATTATCAGTTTACCTCTGATTAGCAACTAGTCTTCTTGAATTGAAATCTAAGATATTATAGGGGATAGTAAACCCAATAGTCAAAGTAACCAAAAATTTAATTGTTGTATATCATATTGTTTGCAACTGTAATTTATGATTATATCATTAATGGCTTGAAATGAGAAATATAGAATTGTTGGTAAATTTGTTGACTCTAAGTGAGTGTTAAATTTAACATCTTAAAATTTTGAAATTTGAATTTAAGGATTTAATAAAGGTAAATATATAAATTAGTGTACTTAATAAATTAATTCCGTCTCTAGATCCCTAATATGCTTATGAGAACATTGGGCAGCTTTAGAAGTGGACTAGGATGGATTTTAGGTCAATCAAGCTTTAGAGTAAGGCCTAAAACTTGTTTAGGCCCTACTGTTCCAACCACCATGGCAGATATGCAAAAAATTTGATTAAATCAGAAGCTTGCAAGTGTTAAGACAAAGGGAGAAAACAAGGAAATCAGGAGAGGCGATGAAGAGGAGATTTGTGGTTGCTAGGGCTTCATCTTTTAACCCATTCAAATGCATTCTAAGCTAGAAAAACATTTAGGTAAGCATTCTATCCATCCTCCTTCCTTTCTGTTTGAATTTTATGACATTTTGGGTAGTTTTGAGTGATGATTTTGTCTCCCATTAGGTTATGACCAAACCTATCATGTTCTTTGGGTTCATAGGTGTTGGATTAGGAGGCGCAGCAAAAAATTAAAATTTCAATCTCAAATCGCAATCGCAGACCTATTGAATATGTTTAAGTTAAAATAGATAGAAGAGTTACCTTTTAAGTGTCGAATTTCTCACGTGTTGTTTTCAAGTATTTCGGACCTCAAGAGCTGATAACAAAGATTAGCTCCCTTTATCAATATCTACACAAATAGCTTTCCAATTTGAACAGCGTGCTAGCACTTCCAATGTCTGACCATCCACCAATCAAACCTTTTTTGTTTTCTAGGATATTTTTGTAGCTCTTAGAGTTTTGCCTTCAAGAGATTCTCTCTAATGAAACTCGTCCCTTATCTATATTATATATAGATTAGGGTTTTATAGCCAAAAAATTAAATTTAATTTATCTCATAAATTAAAACCATGATATCATATCTAATTTGAATTTTTATCTCATAAATTCAAATAATAAAATTAATATGATATCTTCTTATATCATGTTATTTATTAAATTTAATTTATTATATAAAACTAAATTTAAAACTAACAAAATAATATAATATAATACAACATATATATAAGATATACATATTATATTATATATATTTTGAAATATGTATCTATATATATATATATATATATTATATTTTGAATTGTATATTTCATATACACACACACACAAAAATATTTATTAGATAAATATTCAAATGCATGTATATATATATATATATAATTTGTTCATCCTAGATAAAGCATTATATTCATTGAATCTAGACACATTACAAATTCAATGAACTTGAAAATTATAATTCGAGTTAGGCTATTCTTATGTGCAACCTTATATGTTCATATGAAGTTAGTAGTAGGCTAATAACATTATTAGCCCACAAGTCACAAGTGACCTCTAGCAAGACATTGTGACTACCTAATTTATAGAAGAATCGATGATCCAATATAATATTTTCTATAACTATATCACATCCCTTTTATCACGTGATATTTCAATTAATTGTGAGATGTGAGATTGTCATTCTCCTTTATCTGACTATTACTTTCTCAATCTTTAAGTAAACTAACTATAGTAATAGAAAAACTCTTTCCATTGTAGTATGACTATATATTTTTCTAGTCTTACTCATCGAGAGGCCTAGTAATATCGCTTAATTAACGTGAGGGATAAATTATATCTTGACCACTTATATTCCTTTACATGAATATCACTAAACTTAATCATAGCCTTTATGATCATCCAGTTATAGGTGACTTTTGACTAGGTCAAAGTTTAGTGGTCATCGTGTAGGAATCCATAATGATCTCAAGTCAAAGGGCTTAGTGGCATGGTTACATCTGAGATAAACTTAAGATTTGTACCATGCAACTTTCTCATAGTGGGTCGGTTTAGGACCTCTAACCCTTTCAAGTGCCTACGACTTTAATTTATATCTCTATAATTAATCAAAATCATACTAGTTTTATTTCATCTATAATCTCTTATAGATGATTGACTAGGGACATTTAGGACAATTACTATAGTTTGTTCAAGAATACAATTATCATAGTGAACATGCAATTAATATGAAAAAAAAGAAAAATTTATTAGATAACAATATTTATAGTATAATAATTGGCCTTAGGGCACAATTTCTGTAACACTTGCCCTAAGTGTTATCCAAAAATCACATAATTCAAATAAACTAAGTGTGGTTAAGGAGTTAATCCTCTAACCAAGTTAAGAAATAAATCATTTAAAACCTTAAAAAAATTATAGGTTCTACCTATAGCACACGGAAGCAAGCTAGATGAAAATGGAATAAAAAGATGCTGTCATGACAGTAATTTATTGCTGTCATGACAGCCCTCCTAGGCCAACTTTCAGGAGGTGTCGTTCTATCATTCGACCTTCGATCGAAGTGATTTTAAAGCTCACATGTCACATTCAAAGGGTACTATAAGTGAACCAAATTTCAAAAAGATCCAACGGTCGGATTAAAAATTAGACATGTTAAAAGATTGGCTATTTTGCTGTCATGACAGCTAAAAAGCTATCATGATAGCACCTTCGGACTAACTTTTGGGGTGCACCATTTTATCATCCGACCTCCAATCAGAACAATTCCAAATTTCACATGTCACTTTTAAATAGTACTATTAGCATACCAAATTTTGAAAAGATCCAACGGACGGATTAAATTTCGTGCATGTTGCAACATTAACATATATTACTGTCATGACAGCTCCTCCGGACCAAATTTCAGAGTGCGCCGTTTCTCTGTCTGATATTCAATCGACATGATTCCAAAGCCCACATGAATCTTATAAAAGGTTTTACTTGTGACCCAAATTTTAGAGAAATCTAACGATCAGATTAAGATTTGGACACCCGAATGCAAAAGTGTAGGTTTTTGGTAAAAACCATTTTCAAGATTGTCCGAATCTCATCCTATTGGTCATAAACTTGTGGGAACACTTTGGATACATCAAATAGGACTAAAAACACCTGATAGAACATTTAAATGGTAGAAAAACCCTTTATATCAAAATTTGACCACTCGGGTGCCATTTCCCAAAATGGACCCTAAACCCCCAAAATGCACAAATCACACAAGAGTAGCCAAAAACTATTTCAAATATCATATACACATATGAATACACATGCTAAACATTTTCACTTGTCTCAGAGATCTCTGTGGGGCCTACGCACCCACTCTCTCTATCCAAGAAATATGTTTGCCCATAACACCATTTGCAATGCAACCACTTTGCATTTGCTTATGGAATCACATATATATCAAAATAAATATTTGCTTGTAGTGGAAACTTAGTCTACTAAATAAATCCATCAAAACCACATACCATAGCCAAGTTTCCTAGCCACAAGTCTACAAGCAATCAAAAATTCATACACAAGCTATACAATCCACACATACTCACGCACATATACATAATCATATCCTATTGGCACCCTAATCTTAAATACCTTACAATAGATTTGCACAAAAGAAAGGGGTTGTAGTTCTTTACAATTCAGAAACAACCCCTAGCTCTGCTCCTTCTCCCATCCTCCACTCGTTCCTTTGCCTGGATCTAAAATATTGAAAAGAGAGGGGTGAGACAACCACAGTCTCAGTAACAGAGAAATCTACGTTGATTATTACAAAGCAAGCCATAATCGAATAAGTGAATAATAAATTCAACATAGTATAATTTAGCCATTTAAAATGCATGAATGCATGACCTAGGCCGGTATGGCCTTTTATGACCAACAAAATGCCCCCTGGCACTCTTAAACTTGCAAGTAAACCTTATATCTACTTGTACCTCCACAGGCACAAAACATAATCTAAGGCGTGATCTAATCCACCGAACCACCTATGCCCCTTCGACGTGAATCCTGAGCAGTCAAAGCTAACTCCCTCCCAGAGCCAGCCTGACTTACTCTCCATGTGAGGGCTACCTTGGCCTAGGCACTCAACCTCACACTTCATATGTCGGATTCCCTCCCCCACTGAAAGGTGTCGAACACTCAGTATACTAACCACTTTAGTGCACTGAACCCATAATACGTAAGGCAACACTGAGTACTAGCAGTGTGCCATGAAATATCAAAAGTCCACACCTTCTTATTAGTGAACTCCCACCGAGATCATGCCTTTTATTCGTATCTACCTTT